TTTAAAAAAAAAAAAAAAAAAACTAAAGACAGCCGTATAGTCTAAATTTACAAGAACAAACATTGACAAGTTTTAAAAAGAAGAATTTTTCACTACAACAGTCTTCAAAGACGAAGGTATATCCGATTTCCAACTTGAGACATATTTTTAAAGGGTAAATCTTTTGTTTTACAAGTTACATAACCTCACAAATAATATCTCCTTTTAAAATAGAATACATAACTTTTTCCCAACTATTGAGTTTTCAAAATATTTTACAAATCTTACTTAACTACTTTAGCCACTAACTACACAGACATTTCTTTCCCCAAACCTAGCTTTAGTTTAAGGATCCACTTCAGGCGGATTTTAAGGGATGTCTAACACCTTCCCCTTAGAATAATTAGAACCCTTATCCAAATCTCACCGATTAGCAGATCATTAGAATAATAATCTCATAAACCTATAATATACCTTAAAATATTAGGTGGCGAATCTCTTTTATCAACTTCTGAAGAATCATTAGTTGTATTTTATTTTGACTAGTGCAAAATAGGGTGCAACAAGGCCCAATCCAAAATTCTATGAACCAAGGCCATAACTTTTAAAGCCCAAATGCCTCTCCTCCACTGGACCAAACGCCAAATTTCAAATTATAGACCGGATAGTTCTCTTTAAGGGCTTCAACTGTCGTGATACGTAAGCAATCACCATACCATTCTGCACTAATAACACGCTTAGACCAACATATAAAGTATCACAATATGTTGTGCAAGTCCCCAAACCCATGGGCAACATCAACACTGGACAGCTATGGATGGAAACCCCTCCACAAAGTGGCAATAGTAGTCAGCCCTCAACAAAGGGAAAAAACATCCCATATCATAGGCGAAACATCACCATAAATCGCCGGATCTTAACTGATATCGAGTGCTTAGCATCACGTACGAACAAGTATAAGGGGAATTGAAGATATAGGCTTCAAGACGAGATAAAGTCGCACGATAAGAAATCAAAAAAAAAAGAAATTTCCTAACATCTTATAGCCTCTCGGAGATAAGTAAAAATGTCTCTATAACGATACACAAGATACTACTATATCTGCTCGTAACTCGTGAGACCCTTAGAACCTAGAGCTTTGATACAAACTTATCATGACCCTAAATCCCCCTAAAGGTCATGATGGTGCCTAACATGCTCACTAGGCAAGCCAATACAATAACAATCATAATTATAAAGCAAATTCACCAAATCTTGATAAAATTCTCAATATGATAAGAAACATGAATAATCTCAAACTGATAACATAGATAAACTATCTGAGGCTGGGTCTAATACGACCACAACTATCTATACAGCCTCAAAATATGGTGTCACTACATCACGAGCATCTAAAAAGAGTAACTAATTATCAACTCAACAAATATCTGTCCAGAAAAGAATACAAAGACAGAAATACGTAAGTAGGGAAGGGGGACTCCATATGCTGTGGATCGGATAAAATATAGCATCTCATCACGAAGTCTCCAATATATTACTCCTACTCAACTCAATGGTACCTCCAATACCAATCTCAGAACTTGCACAAAAGCGTGCAGAAGTATAGTATGAGTATACTACAGACGATACCTAGTAAGTATCAAGTCTAACCTCGAATAAGTAGTAGCGAGGCTATAGGCATCATGATACTTACAATATAGATAAAGATAACAAAGATGGGATCAAAACAATAAATAATCTCATGAATAACAAGTATCAAAGATATTAATAGCCGAGAGATGTAAAGCATGCTTTTTCAATTCAAAGATAATCATAGCGCTGCTCAGATATGATATGTAAAGATGGCATGCTTCAATCAACGGACTCAAGGCTCCCAACTAGCATATATAGGTGACATGCAATAGTTACCATTTAAATAAATACTTCTAAATGAGTAAATAATATCTGTTCATGCTCAAGACCCTACCTCTTACCATAACCGATACAAAATCCATGTACCCTGATATAAAATTCATGTATTCCATACAAAATTCATGTATTACAGTAACCAATACAAAATCTACGTATTGACCCGATATATAATTCGTATATCGACCACGCTCAAATTAACATGGGTATACCTGACTCCGAGGGAATGGTAACAAATCCAAGCACAAAAAGAAGCTTGATAGCTCACCTATGATTAAATATCCGCTCATCATGTCATGTTCCATAATTGTATCTCAACCGCACGAAACTGTCTTTCGTGCCACAATTTGAGTCCAATTCAAGTATCCAAATATAACACATATGTTTGTGCCTAAGAATTAATAGATAAAAGATGCACAGGAACTTAATAATAATCATGTGAATATGTGCTCAAGAAATTTCTATATGACAGCAGATGATTCAAGCAATTCAACATATCAAGAACAAGCTCCCATATCTTCATAAATAACCATAAATCTGGGTATGATCTCAAACACGAATAAGAGGTGAATGTATTCATACAAGTCAAACAAATCATAAGTCAAGATGAGCACATAATTAAAAAAAGGCATAAAGTATCTCAATTGTACCCGGACATGATATAATTTTTGTAAGTGCATATACGCTCGACATCCCGTATATACATACCCCCAATACCATAAACACATAACAATCAAGTAAAATCCTAGGGGTTTCCCTCTTAATAAGATTAGCCATGAGACTTACCTCTTTCTTGCCTAGCCTCAATCAAAAATTGCGTCAAAACCTCGCTCCAGCCCTCAATCATGAAAATCCAAGTCAAGCTTCATCCAAGGAAGTCAAACAATGTTATAGGAAGTGAATAGAACTTCAATCTTTGATGAATTCCCAAAAAGTCAACCTGGACGCATGTGCCCGAAATTCGAAACCATTACTAAAATCCGATGACCCATAACCTACTGAGTCGAAATATAATTAGATCCAAATCCGGATCTAATCGATGGTCAAAATTACAAAATACAATCTCTTAAAAGTATAGGCAAAAACCCCAAATTTTCTTTCAATATTTTTGGATGTAGGAGTCCATGTAGATCTTTGAATTATAATCACAAATAGGTAGAAATCACTTTCCCTCTTGCCTTGCATGAAAATCCCCATGAAAAATCACCTATTTCCAAGTCTATGGCTTAGAATATGAGAGACTGAGTAAAAGTCTTGAAATAATATCTTAAATAATCTGCCCAGAAGTACCCTTCGCGAACATGGCACAAGTTTCGCATTCGCGAAGCACAAAACACTGCTGCTCAGGAAAATGCTCTACGCGATCGCGAAAGAGGCCATGCAATCGCGAAGGCCTGCTGCTCTCACAACATCGCGAAGCGTCTGACCAACCGCGAATGCATTAACCAGACACCGGCCACGCTCCCGTTCTACGCGAACACAATTAGAGACATGTGAACTCGTATACCAGTCTGCTTACAACACGTGAACGTGAAGGAACCATTGCGAACACGAAGCACAAAGCCCTGATTGGCCAAATTCTTCTCTGCAATCTTGATCCTAGCTCCGCGATCGCGAAGCACTCCAGAATACCAGCAACACAGCAGCTCCAAACTCAACCAAAATGGTCTGAAACCATCCCCAAACACACCTGAGCCCCTCGAGACTCCGTCCAATCATGAAAACAAGTCCAAATACATTATCCAAATTTATTCAAAGACTTGAAACATTGCAAATAATATTAAAACCACGAATCGAAGATTAAAATTATTCTCTTAACTTTCGAACATGCCTATTTCGTCGAACTCATCCGAATTACGCTCAGACATTCCGGATTACAGTTAAATTTTGCACACGTATTCCATCCAACTAAATGAAAATTTTCAAGGTCTCAAAAACACAATCCGAGTCTGATAACACCAAAGTCAACTTCCGTTTAAACTTATGAACTTTTTAAATTTTTTAAATAGCAGAATAGCCTAGTAGACACTTGTACTTGTCCCACTTGGTTATGCCGGTCCCAGTACTCTATAGTTTGCCAATTGAACACTTATACTTGTTCAAATTCTATATATTGATATTATGGTATTAATCATGATATTATGGTATATTTGGGGAAGATAGAGGAATCTTGAATGCCTTTCCAGATAAAAAATTAGGGTTTTTTGAACAAGTATAAGTGTTCAATTGGCAAACTATAGAGTACTGGGACCGGCATGACCAAGTGGGACAAGTACAAGTGTCTACTAGGCTATTCTGCCTTTTAAAATTGCCAACTTTCAATAAATAGAGCTAAAACCTTCTAGGAATATCCAAATTCATATCCGAACATGCGCCCAAGTACCATCACACAAACCCATTGAAATCATCAATCCCAATTCCAAGGTCGTTTACTCAAAGTCAAACTTTGGTCAACTTTTCATACTTAAAGTTTCCAAATCGAGAACCATTCTATCAAATCAATTCGAACCATATGAACATTAAAACTAACCATATACGCAAGTCATAATACAGCATATGAAGCTACTCAAGAGCTTAAATCATCGAACGAAATGCTAAAACTCAAAATAACTGATCAGGTCATTACAAGAACAAATTATTTGATTTGGCACCATCTATCTAGTAATAAGTATGTTTTATATTACTTTTTTCTTTGTTTACTGTATAAACGATATTTGCTATACATTTATTTCATGTTAGTTATAAAAGTTACATTTAATGTAAATGACTTCATGATGAAACCAAATAAAGCATTATTATTATTATCATTCTATAAAATATGATACCAACATTAATTAAACGCCAAAACTTTAATGCAACATTTTTCTAAGTTGTAAATGATATATCACTAATTTTTTAATGAATATCACGTAAAGTACATACGATATTTCGTAAATGTTGCAAATCTTCTCATTGGCATTCAACAAACTGTCAGAAATTTCAAAACTATATTTTATAAAGGTCACACGTAAATGTCATATTTTTTTACTATATTGCTTTATATGTCGGAAATTTTAAGTGACGTTTCCGGGATGTCGTAAACTAAATGTTGTAAAATTCTTACGATATTTACCTAAATATCATAAAATTTTATAGACAACAACAACAACCCAGTAATAATCTCACTAGTAGGGCAGGGGAGGATAGAGTGTATGCAGATCTTATCCCTACTTCGAGGGTAGAGAGACTGTTTTTGGGAGACCCTCGACTCAAAGACATTTACCGACATTTGATGCAATTTTTTATAGACATTTACCTATATGTCGTAGAATAAGTGTCGTAAATTTCTTATCGACATTTATGTGTCGTAAATTTCTTACCGACATTTGATGCAGATGTAAATTAAATGTAGGTAGACGAACTTGTGACATAAAATAATGTAATACGATATTTATTAAATGTCGTCATATCTGCACTTTCTTGTAATGTTTGAAGGAAAATCCTACGAGAGTATGTCGTAGTTTTTTACTCCCTTTATACAAGGAGGTTTTCTACGTAAAAATTATTGTGGTCTTTCACTACTAAAAAAACTGAAATTAGCTACGAACTGCGCCGCTAAATCGCTCGTAGCTAACAGATTTTTTTGGTAAATTCGCTAATCCGTCGCTAAGTAGGACGGATTTTGCTGTTTAGCTATATAATTTTTTCGTCGCTATTTCCTATTATTTTTTAGTAGTATTTATATTCTGCACTTTACTAGTTGTTTCTATCTGTTTTGGGTGTATCAAAAAACTTGATTCTTCGTAAAATCGGATAAGACACAATTCACCTTCTTTCTTCTTGTGTCTAGGTGCACACTAAAATAATAAGATTGTACTTAACTTGTGGTTCCTGTCGTACACGGAAATAAGAGCAAGGCTATGTTCTAGTAATTAAACTAGATCCTTATGTGAAACTCCTGTTGGAATACACTTTCACGACTCTACCACCCAGTTAATTCTATTCCACTTAATTCCTCTTTCATGGCCATATATCATTCCGGCTAAGAAATGGAAAATCTTTTATCTACACGCCTTTATCAACGCTGTTTTTCGATCGGAAGACCGAAAGCTAATTATCGAGACTTTGAACTATCCGTACACATTAGTTCATACATGTTTGTTGCCAGGAGCAACAAGAAATGAATGATGTTGCTAGTTCTAGTTAAGAGAAAGGATTTATTATGTAAAGTTTTTCACCGACTAAATAATAAAGTAAATAAATCCAAACTTGAAGAGAGCTAATGCCACACCCCTTTTTTAACAAACTTCACTAAACCCTCTTAATAAAAGGATTTCGCAAAAAAAGCTTAAAAAAAGTTTTCAATTTGAAAAGTGACAAAATTGTGTGTTCAAAAGGATTAACTTTAGAGTCGCCACCTGCCACCTGACATTTGATTTCGGTGTGTCAGGTCACCGTTTTTCCAAAAATAATAATTTTCCTTTCAAGACACTTTGAACTCTAAAACTAAGTCTACACCAGAATTTGGGTAAGGGGGTTCATTTGACTGGGGGAGAAGGTGTTAGGCATTCCCCGAGTCCCGTGAAAGTCACGGTTGTGTACTCGATCTAGTTGGCTTTTAAAATATTCAAGTTGAGGTGGAATCATGGAAAAGCAAAATAAACACACACGAAGCTCGAGGTCGTCCCCACCTAATAAAAAAGAAAAGTAAAAATAAAAATAAAAATAAAATACTACAAGTTCTACTATCGATCTCCAAGTACAAATACTTCAGGGCATACCCCGAAATAAAATATATACAAATCCTTCGGAGCATTCCCCGGATAAATTTAACTAAAAAAACAACCTCGAAACTAACAAAATCCTTGGTTAGGCAGTAGCCGGCCTAAACATGGTCCTAATGAATGATGCGACAAAGTAAATAAAAGGGACATAAATAGAAGAAAAATTCAACTCATGGTCATGTTCTTTTATCCTTCATTCACTTAACTATAATCCCCCGTGACAAGTAGGTGCACCAAACATTGATCCAACAAACCAAACAAAGAACCTAATCAGATAAATGTTCGCACATTTAAAGGAGAGGGCCAACTAGGGAAAACTATGGCACATCTACTAAGGACAGTGAATAAATCTATCCAAAGAGCATCGAAGTTTTCTATCACCCCATTTTTCTGTTAGTTCCTCATCAGGCAAAATACAGGCTAAGCAAGCTTATATTAATTAATCTTCCAAATCAATTGCATGTGACCGAACAAGTCTAACAAAGCACTAGCATAGAATTAATTACTAAACATAGCAGGAAAAGACAATCGAATGAAAGCCAAATATTCACAGGACTAGCATGGTAAATGTCACAGTAAAAGATAATGAAGCTTTCAAACAGTCATTCATGTGCTTAAACAACCAGAAGGAAAAGAAAATGCACCAAAACTTGCCGTTCGTCTACTAAAATATTTTTAGGAGTCAAGTAAGTTAGACACAAAATGACCATTTACAGAAAGCATGGAAAAGAACCTCGGACAAAGCTATAGAAGTGCTAGTCAATCACTTTCACTGTTTTTTAATCTTCACTATCAAAAGTTTACTCCGAACAGAAAGAATATTTCATTGGAACGAATACTCCAAACAGTCAACACAAATTCACATGATGGTATTGCAGCAATATGTAACCCAAATAAAACTAGCCATGACTCAAACTTCAGAAAACTCATCACAAAAAGCTGAAGAGGGAACAATAATAGGAATAACACATATTACACTAAGATGAACTAACAAACTCCAGCCATCATTAGTGTTTTAATTCACACTCTTAGACATAAGAAGAAAAGAGAAAGAGATGAACCTGTTAAAGCTTTTCAATTAATCTCTCGGAAAATTACAACAGTTAAAATGAGCAACGACGACGAACTGCAACCGGAAGACTCGAACAGCAATTCCACAAATCGAACATCCAACTCTGCTTCACTCCGTTTCGAAAATCCGAATCACAAAGAAGAGACCACAATATTTGTTTTCGTCATTTTAAAATTGAATCAAAATCAGAGAATCAGGACCAAACCATTAAACCTTTCCTATTTTTTCTAAAAAAAATCTCTATTTCGATTTTTCCTCCTCTCCAAGACTCCCTATTTTCTGATTATTTTTTTTTTTGATTTTTTTTTTTTTTGACTCTTTGAAATAAAAGAAAAAAACAGAAGCAAACCCAGAAAAAGGAAAAATAGATCTCTGAAAATCAAACCCTCCTCTTTTCTCCAATTTTCTCTGTCTCCTTTCAATCTCTATCCAGACCCAAATATATAGCACCCTCCCGAAGCTTCTCTCCTTCCTCTGCAAGAAATCGCAAAAACCCCTCAAAAATCCGAAAATCCCCACGAAATTCTCCGAAAAATCAAAACCAAAATCGGAAAATCTCTTATATTGGTGAGATAAGAGAAATGGAGGGAGTAGATCGAGTGCAACTCAATCCTACGCACCCCATTTTTCCTATTTTGCCTAAAAGAGAAATCCGAAAAATGAAAAATAGGAAAAAAACGCGTAGAATCAAATCCTAATGATGAGCGGGGACCATGAGGGGACCATGTGAGTTAACTCGGCCGATTTACTGAGTTTTCCGGCGAGTACGAGTGGCAAGGGATGCGGGCAGGGGCTGGGAAAGGGGGGGGGCGATTTGGGTTGGGATTTAGGTTCAGGGTTTGGGAAATATTAGGATTTTATATGGGGTTAAAATGAAATGTGGGCCATTGGATGAGNTTTAGGTTTAGGGTTTGGGAAATATTAGGGTTTTATATGGGGTTAAAATGAAATGTGGGTCATTGGATGAGAGGAAATTAATGGCTGAGATTTAAGACCAAAAACGGGTCGGGTCGGGTCGGGTAGGTCTGGCGGGTCGAAGGGGTTGGGTGTGGGTCAAGAATTAAGGGAATTGGGTTGCCCCAATTTGGGCTCAAGCTTGGTCGAATTTGGGCCTAAATTTGGGACTATGACTCTTTAAAATCCATCAATTAAGAAACACTTAAACCTTTTCTTCTCAAAATATAATTCAATTCTAATTAACTAGGGTAAATTATATAACAAAATGCAACTATATATTTTATATATATATTTATATATAAATTAATATATTAAAAATAAAAGTAGAGAAAAATACGTAAAAATCGTAGTAAAAATAAAAAATAAAAATATATTTGCTATAAAATACTGATGGCCTTAAGTTAAAAATAAGAAAATATATAAGGAAACTATTTTTTGTATTTTTTTAAAAAAATTTGCGCCTTTAAAAATAGAATTAAAGTTAATAATAAAGTGAAATCTTATAGAAATAAATCCAGACAAATATCCTACAAAAAATACTAGAACTATTAAAGGTAATTCGAAAGTTCAGGTCAAAATTACATGTCTACAGCTAAGACCGAGTATTGTGTATATATGCATAATTATGTATTGTTGCATTTTGTGAGTTGAAATAGATAGGACATATTACAGTACATCATAAGAAATATACGAATATCATAGCGACGACAGAAAAGATAATTTGATAATACAAAATTAAGAAAGGATAGATGAAGAGAAAATGATTATACAGTGTTCAATATAAACTTGTTAATTCTTCTTTAATACATAAATGTGAAGCTCAAGCTGTACTTTCTGATCTTCGTTAAACAAGTAGAAGCTCTCGTGCATTGCTCTGATTTCTCTTTCAATAGATTTCGATTTAAATTAGCTAGTGCTTTACGAAACCAACTTCAATGACGACACGATGTGTAATTAACATCTCCAATCTAAATTGACAATGAATTATAAAGTAACATTTCTTATCCTATTTAAAGTTGTACGCAGCAAAATAAAATACGGGAACACACACTTTTAGTTTTAGCAATGGGAGTACCTGGGCCTGGCATGAATTAGTTGGAACTGAAGATGCTTTTTTGAATTCACCTCCTTTAATTTATTTGCTTATTTATTTTCTCGCAAATTAAAGACTGAATCGTCGAGATCAGTCCCTTTCTGCAATGAACCTTATTAAATTTCCATCTTTAGTTTGAAGTTCTTTTCTTTAAGGCATAATAGGCCGGCAGATACTTATACTTGTTCGTGTTTGTCATCTCGGTTCCTATACTTAATAAAGTTTCATCCAGACATTTATAATTGTTCAAAATCAGCATTTTAAATTCCTCTGACTGTTGACCAAGTCTATGTGGCAACTTAACCGTTGAATTTGACAAAATACTTGTATTGCACGTGTATAAGGAGCGTGAATATATATATTTAAATCAAAAATGATNATGTTATCCATCCTCCCCCACTTTAACCCAAAAACCATTGCAACACAACCCTCCTCCACCACCTCTTCATCAACCAATAACTTCCCTAGACATCCGAAATCACCGCTAGATTAGCAGTATTTTTTGGGAAAATTTCTTTCCCACATCCCCATTCCCCAACTTTTAAGATGAGCTTTTGCAAAGAAAATAAATAAAAATACTGGAAGAAGATTGCTGATGAAATATGTTTCCGACAAGTTTATCTGTAGCGAAATTTCAAAAATTTTGGGTGAAGTTTTTGGTGATGATAGTCTTTTGGTTGGTTATTTCTAATGGCATGTTCTTTTGGTGGTTAGGCAATTTTACGATTTGGGGCTAAATACAGAAAAATTTATCAGTTTATTCTCTTGATTATTTGTAACCTAACATTATTTTGAAGGTGTTAGTAAAGGTAGAGGGAATACTGGGGAATAAAGAAGGTGGTAGAGGTGATGGTGGAATGAATTTGTTTAAAAAAATATGAGAAATAAATTAATGATGATGTGTCAAAAAAAATCTGACGGGGACACTGATGTTGTTGGGGCATATATTATTAACCATGTATTTGGATATAGTATATTCTAATAATTATCATGGTTAAAAGTCTAAGTGGGAGATTGTTGAGA